TGTGTGTGTGTGGTGTGTGTGTATGTGCGTGTGTGTGTGGTATGTGTATGTGTGTGTGTGGTGTGTATGTGTGTGTATGTGTGATGTATGTGCGTGTGTGTGTGGTGTGTATGTGTGTGTGGTGTGTGTGTGTATGTGTGGTGTGTGTGTGGTGTGTGTGTGTGTTGTGCGTGTGCTGGGTGCAGATCCACTGTCACCACTTGACTTCATATTGGGGAAAATGCAAATGTGTGTTGGATGCAGTTAGACACATTTGGGATTTAAGCATTTGGGTTTGACCCTCAGATAAACTAATTTGAAAACAACAACGAAACACTGAGACAGAAAAACAGGCTTTTCCTTCCAAGTTGAGAAAGAAAAAATATGACAAGGAAGGGTAGGTTTCACAGATACAAAAAGCTAACAGGAGAGCCGGGCATACCTGTGGCTCACGCCTGTAATCCAGGCAACTCAGGAGACTGAGATTTCAGGATTGCAGTTTGAAGGCAGCCCAGGCAGGAAAAATCCATGAAACTCATCTCCAATTAACCACCAGAAAAACTCAAAGTGGTAGTGCACTAGCCTGGAATGAAAAAGCTCAGGGACAGAGCTCAGGCCCTGAGTTCAAGCCCCTTGACTGACCCCCCAAAATAAGCTAACACGAGGTCCTTTCTTGATGCTTGCTCACTTCTCCAGAACTCTCTCTGTCCTACAAGATTAGGTCTACTGCCATCTAGCAATCCTTTTCAGATGGGAAAGACTCCTCCACTCTCAGACCTAATCGTGGGCATTTCTTCTGCACAACAGCAGACCTGTCTTATCCAAGTGGACTGGGGGACATCCAAGATAACACAGACCCCAACCCAGCACGCTGTTCCTCTATCTGTAGACTTTCACGATAACATTTACAAAGCGGGCTCGGGAGGTTAACAACAGCAACCACTGATAAAATAGAACAATTTGCGTTTCTGACATGGGGCGTGTGATGTGGCCGAAGCTAGTCTTAAATTCACGATCCTCCTGCCTACCCACGGGTGGAGTTACAGGTGTGCACCACCATGCACAACAACATGAAAGAACAATCAGATACGAGGATAGAAGTGGCATGCATGTGATCTCTCTCCTTCTCTCTCTAACCACCCCTCCTCAAAGAATCCTACTGAAACCCAAGTGCCATCATACTCATCATTCTATTACCACCAGCCTACTGACTGAGATGAATGGACACACTGGACAAAGAAATGGGTCACATCCGCAGCAAGGTGGTACAAGAAGATCTCAGGAACTTTCCCAGCTGATACTTCCTGGCAATGGTTAACTATGAGTAACTGAAACCATGGAATGCCACATGCTGACAATGCAGACTGAGGAGAAGAGGGGCCTGAGCTGCACGCAGCTTCAGACTCCGTCCTCCGAAATACACTCAGGAGAGAGAGGAGTTCACCGCTGTGTTTTGTTGCAAGGTGAAAACTTTCCCACTCCTTTTCATATCCAGGATATTAGCATATTTTTATTGCTCAGGGGGGACTGGGAATCTGTAAACTCATGCTTTTCCCCAGTAGGTAAACACAACAGACCTCACTTTCTTCTTTTAAGAATTCCTAGTGTGGCCTACTGATGTATGATGTTAGACTTTCTCTCCCTCCTATACCACCTCCCCACATGGAGGTGTAATCAGTGTTTAGATAGATGTAGCACCTAGCCAAACGCAAATTTAAGTTACCAGAATATGTGCTCTGTGGGTTAACACCACTCAACACATTTTTTTCTTCAAAAGGAGTAAGTCTAAATGCACTTACAAAACTCCAATTATCTATATTGTGCTTACGGAAAGCCTCAACAACCAATTAAACAATTCTGTGATGGCGACAATTGGTATCTGTAAATTGTTCACTAAGTTTCAAGTTCGGGAAGTCTTTGATTCTTACCTGATTGCAATAATCTTTCTTTCTGTACCAGGCAGGAAGAATGTTTTTATTTTCTTGGTGTCATTGTAAGTTTGGAATCGTTCCGAGTTGATGAAGAAGAGGGGCTGTGTGATTTTGGAATACAGATCATCACTCAATGGAAACATCCATGCGTCAAGTGCGATGCCACATCTGCAGATATTCATTAAATGATATTAATGTTAATAATAATATTAAATGTATTATTCAAGAAAGCTGTCTAGCTACACAATGATCAAGGCAAGGCTCTACCACCCCAATCTTATTATGGACTAGGTTTCAGGTATTATACTTCAATGTGAGATATTATTATTTTTAGAGGACGTAATAAATACACCATTTCTCCAGCATTTCCAGACCTTTGGGGCATTCCATACTATACCCATTCTATTCAGAGTAACAATGCACCTCGAACCTTAGTATATTTATATCCATAGTTATGTCTATAGATTCTTTACCTGAAAATTATCTAGGGGTTGAAAAAAAACATATGAAACATATCATTTGAAATATATAGCTTATTTCCTTTTTTTTTTAAAGTTTAGCCTATGTTTCCTAACCTTTTGGACAATCTGATGACAGAAACAGATTTATCTCTTTTTAGAGGATTCAAGGTGAAATTTTATAAATGATCCCACTTTTTTCTTTTAACTGTTGATTTGATGTGATCTTGCCAATCTAACATGAAGTTATTCAACAAGAAAAAAATGTTTCTGCAAGTTAAAAACTGGGATTTGCTCCTGACTCCTGTCCAAACAACTGTGTGATTTTAGACCCAGCTCTATCTTAAAAATGGAGGGAGGGAAACTAATCAAAACTGTCCTGAAGTCTAGAAAAATATAAGATGGCAATACTATTATCACATTATGCTACAGATAGTTCATATATAAAATATTTCTAACGGATGTGGTAACACAGTAATTCCAGCCCTTTGGAGGCTGAGATAGGAGAATCACAGGTTCAAGGCCCACCTGGGCTACATAATAAATTCTAAACCAGTGTGGGCTACATAATGAGACCCTGTCTCAAAACACCAAAAAATAAATGTCCAAGTAAATATGTGACTGAATGGTGACTATAAATGGTAGAGGCAAACTCATATGGCTGGAATTTTTTTTAATGGCAGAAGAAATAAATGATGTTGGCCTAGGAAATGTTATGTAGAATACTGGATTGTCTTATATGCCTGCAAAGATTCTTTCTTCATTAAGGATTTGATGTTAAAAATAAGTCATTCGCCACAAGTACAACCCTGTCCCACTTCCAATCATTTTGAACTCCCTTGCCTTCTCTGTCTAATTTCCTTACCTGAATCTGTGGTCTTCACTAAGAGCTTGAATAGCTGTTGCTCCACCAAAAGAATGTCCGACAACTGCAATTTTATCCCTATCAATAGAATCCTAGGCAAAAAAAGCATTACAAGAAATCGTAGCTGTCTTACACTGTGTTAGAAGAATAAACAATTTTGTCAACCACATGAATTATGCTTTACACAGACACGGTGAAGTACCCTGATTTCCTAAAAAATACACTATGTTGATTTGTTTGTTCATCACATGAATACTTAACAAGCACGGTCTTTGTGCCAGACATGGTGGTCTAACGTTTAACGAGTGCCCTGTCTGCCGGGAAGGAAAGCGACGCAGACACACAGGGCATCTTATGTAGGATACAGAGGAGTCAAGGGTCACACGTGGTAGATAGTTAAACCAGGCCCCAACTGGATATGGGGGCCAATGAAGCTTTGTAGGAGGTGATGCCTGATTTGGATCTTGAGGATTAGGCAGGAGTTGGTCACGTCAAAAGGGACACCAGACAAAGGCAGTAAGGTACTGAGGCGTGGAGACCAGCTGTAGTGCCTGGTTTAATTTTATTTTTGGGCAGCACTAGGGTTTGAACTCAGAGCCTTGGGGCACTCTACTGCTTGAGCCATGCCTCCAGCCCTGCCTTTCCCCAACACTCTTGATTGCATCTGGAGTGTGGACCATCAACTCATCTCCAACCCAAAGTCCTGCTAGTGCTCCCTGCCCCCTGTAAGCCATCCTCCAGCACGTCTGAGTCCTCACAAGTCCCGTCCACTCTAGCTGAGGCCTTTCTAGTCATTCACAATTCTGTCCAAAGTGTTGGCCAGCTTTTCAAGATTAAGAACCTATAGAAGCTGTTCAAGAAATTAGAATAGTTCCCTTGTTAAATGAAGTTGAACCGCGTGAAATGTCCTTGATTAACTCAAAATTGACGGCTGTCAATTTCATTTATAGTTCAATGTAATGCACCTTTACTATTGTATTTTTCACCTACATTAGTGTGTGTGTTTGTTACAGCCATTTTTGCATGGTGAACCTTGTAATACAGCAAAAATTCAAATAACAATAGAGAAGCACAGGTCAAAGAAACCTGAGGGGCAAAAACTAGGAGAGCCTGAGGGAAGGGGTGACATTGTCTAAAAAGAAATATACTCATTATCTGACTTACGAAACCATGACCTCTCCGTACTTCACCTTTAAAATAACAATTAAAAAGAAACAGGAAAAATGACTTAAAAACAAACTCACCTTCAGTTGTTTCACATCGAAGTCTAAACCCAATTCATTCTTCACTGGCTTTCCCTGGTCGATGTCAAGAATCAAGCTGAGAGCCCGCGAGCATTCCTTTGCTCTTTGCTGCACCTAGCGTGATGATTGGAAAAAGGGGGAAGCCAAAGCCAAAGGTTTTACATCATGTTGCTTGCAGGGAAGGACTCTGGTTGGCTTCATCCTGGCAGTGTCTTAATGAGAAAGGATTTGAATGCCTGCTCCAGCTGTGTGACAGCAGTTGATTGACATAACCCCTTTTGGTTCCCCTCATTTCAAATGAACATAGAGTTTTGTAGATTCACACCAGTGAATCTTCTGTATTAATACCCACCTCCAGGAAATGTGGGTAGGCTTAGTAACACAAGATAAAGCAGTCTCTCAAATATTCCTATAGTCCCATAATACACAATTATTATTACTATTATTATATTATTATTACTATTTTATAATACATAAAACCATGAGAACTTGACTGGTCCAAGAATACCCCTACTGAAAATGGAGCATGAATTCCCACACAGACATTATAATAATGCTATTATTGTATATACTACCACTCTTCAGTCTTTTTAACATTGTTTTTGACGGCTGGGGGAGAGGGTGGACCCTCTTCATTTATTTTCTATTACTTCTGAGCTTCTGAAATGAGAAGTCCTCTTCTACAAGAGAATTCTGTTTGCTGGCCTTTCCCAGGATCTTTGTCTTTGCCTCTTTGTTAGCACTACCCATACATTTCGTTCAGGGGATTTCAGAGGCACTTTGGACAGATTTTTGGCAATGGAAAGAAAGTAGGAGATCTGAAGGCCATGTCATCATTTTGTGCACTCTTTCAGGACACTTTTATCACAGGAGCTGAGTATGTACCTGTTGCTTTCGTATAATCTTTCCCTCCTCCCAGGTTAGGGTCTTAAAGTAAAGCCAGGTCTTATTTCCCAACTCTGCAGCATGTTGGTCCTCAAAATAGTAAGTCGCAGATGCAGATCCGTCCCTACGGTGCAAAGAAAGGTAGTTACTTATCTGTGTTCCTTCTTTATCTTGCCTGCCTTGCTCAGCGCCATCCAGGACTCAACATTCCTCTGATCTTTGGCCTTCCTTTTCTTCTCCTATTCTGCATTTTTTTTTCTGATCAAAGAGGAGACCAAGGGATCTTTAGGGAAAAGGCCTTAGGAAGTCTCATCTAAAAGCTGATTCACCGTCATTAATTCTGGAAGGTAATGTCATCCACGTTGAACATTCTTCTGGAATCAAATTCCAGCCCTTGTCATCTCCTAGCTGTCTGGCTGTGTGTATGAGGGAATGACTTCTTCTTCCCCTCATTTCCCACCTCTTTCAACCAAAACCCAACAATAACCATCTCACAGGACTGTTGATAAAGAAATACTATGGGAGCCAGTTGGTGCATGCATCGTCCCAGCAAATTCCACCCATGGCATGCCAGGAACACTCTGAAAATGTGGGCTTTTTTTTTTTTTCCTGAAACCTGGACGCTGGGATTTGATCGCCTTTCTTTGTTTTCAGCATGTAAAATCCGCCAGCAGCTTTTTCTGCCTGTGATGATGCTGAGAAGCACCGCTGTGGGCATTTGCCTTCGTGCAATCGACTCAAGAAGCTGTCTGGCTGCCCCAGGGGGCTAACCTGTGCTCCACAGCAGCCACGAGGAACCCGTGAGACGCCAGGTCAGTGCCAATGGCCGCGTAAATCGTCCTGAAAAATGAAGAGAGCAAAGAAAGCGTGAATGACCTGCCTCCTAGCGTAATTAGCAATCTGTATCCACTAAGAAATCTGCAAACATGCAGTCCATACTGTATTCTTGTGTCCTGGGGACAGCCCCGAACACGGTGGATCTCAAAAGGGGACGACTTGACTCTTTAAGGGATATTCGACGATGTTTCTAAGTGTTAGTATCCTCAGCATCTGGGGGAAGAGTACCACTGGCATCTAGTGGATAGAGGGGTACTACCAATCATCCTGAGAGTTCTTTTCAGCAAGCAGCTACCTGGTTGAAAATGACCACTGTGGTCACGTGATGACAAGTATAGCCATTGAGAGGCTGGACTTTATAATATCTTTTCTCCATCGCTTACTATCTGTACGATTTGGGGGTAATTACTGAATTCTTGTCCTCTCTTATAAAATGGGGCCAGGAATAAAGCCTTACCTATACAATGGTTGTAAGATTTTGACAAGTCAATGTACATAGGAAGGCAGCATAGAGGAAAGTAAGCAATTAGGAGAAGAAGAGCTCAATCTTGAGTTTGGACCCTGGTTCTAGCACTTACTAGCAGGGGTTCTTACATAAGGTAAGGTCTCTCTCTCTCTCTCTCTCTCTCTCTCTGTGTGTCTTTTTTAATCTATAAAAAGGCAATGCTCACAGGAAAGGATCAAAGGAATTGATAGGTCTTTAGCATTTATAACCCCCTTAGAAACAGGGTGGTACTGAAATGTTTGCATTGTGTAGAATGGTTAAAAGTCACGTGCCCAACATTGAATCTGTGTTCTCATTCATGTCTTCACTCTGTACACCTTTTTTTTTTACATTATGGATTCAATAGGAAATATTTAGAAAGAACATGAAGGAGGTACCTAGGAACCACGGCTTCTACTGCTAAATACATAGGGCCTTTCCAAGACAGAGAAATGGTTTGCAAAGTTTTGCATTCCACCCTCGGTGGAAAGCCAGAGAATAACTAATTGTTCCCAGCTTTGTGGGCCATACTTTGTCATAACTATTTAAGTCTGCTGTGGTAGCCCCAAAGTAATCATAGGCAACAATATAGCTTCCAATATAAAAATCTTTATTTATAGAAATAGGCCTGAGGCTGGAATCGACGCTCAGATTCTAATTGACGAATACAAATCCAATATCTGAGCAGACTACAATTAAAGAGAAGAGGAGAATTCTTTATTAAAAGTGCTGCCCAACTTCCTCCCAACAGAAAGTTTACGTTTCATTTCCTGAAAGGTTTTTTAAAAATCCTTGAAGACGAGGAAGGAGAAGCAGTTGAAAAGACAGGAGAAAATGGAGCGGATGTGATTTTATGAAAGTGTGCATCTCAGCTATCACGCGATGGGGAATGCATCTTACCAAAGGTCTCGCCCAAATCCCGCCTCTGCAGATCCATCCCCGTGCCCGGTGGAAGCTAAGTGGTGACTTGACATGGCTTAGTTACGCCACAAACTCATTCCTGTTGGATGTGAATTCTTGGACAAGCGACTCTGGGTCAAGCCTTCCTTCTGTTGGCCTGGCCCAGCCTTTTTAGGAAGTGCGCTGTGTCATTAAAGACCCTTAAACTACCTGATCCTTCTCCCTGCCCCATCTCTTTTCCAGACTGCATTATGGTATGGAGTCTCTCTCCATTTTTCCCCTTTTCCTTTCAAGGAGTGGTTTTCAAAAGGAGTGCATGTTGTCTGTTTCTCAGAAGACCTAAGCTGCACAGGGCATGCTTTGAAGAGTGTACGTAATTACAGCGGTAGAAGGAAAAGCAACACGTAACATCCGCTCTCATCTACTGTGACACTCATCTTTATGAACAAGAAAGGGACCAAGACAGAGTACGGATCCATCAGTAGACCACAGTCCATTCTTGAGGAACCTGAGGACAGAGGCCCAACACAACATTCTGGAAACTTCGAGTCGTGTTATGGAAAAACAAAATGTACTCAAGTCATTGATTGAGCGAGGCTAGAACTATTCATCATCTCAGATATTACCTGAATGCCCCCAGGCCATGAGAAAACACAATGAGTGGATATTTTTTGCCAGTTCTCAGAGGAGCATTCCACTTGGCAGAAATTTTTGTTGAACCTAGACAACAACAATGGGATGTGAGTTAGTAACTTCTGATCCGTCTGGCCTACACAGGGTGTGGTCAGGTTAAACAAATAAGGAGTCTGTATTACTGCAATTTAGGCCTGTTAAACAATGAATACTCATCAGATTGCTAGTGAAAGAGGCTTAGCCTTTGGGGATATGTGATAGAGTAGAGTGTGATCTCTTCATTTATGGGTAAGACATTAACTGTGACTCCGTTTTGGAACTGAGGAGTTAGGATGGCTTCTAGTGAGTTTTTCTCTCTTGGTGTCTCACCCAGAGCTCTGCTTACCACATGATTGCTTCCTCCATAGAATACAGAAAGGAGGAGCAGAGAAACAGTCCTAAAAAATGTTAGAGCCAGTCTCACACTATCATCTACTCCTGTCACATCAGAATAGGCAGAACAAGGACCCTTGATTCTCTCAAAGAAGCCTGAGCCTTTGACAAATACAGCCCTTTTCATCTTAGAGGTGGAGATGGGCGCACACCCACTTTGGCCTTAACTTTCTGCAATTCTCATTGTTTCCAGGGTTTTCTTAAGACACTAGTTCCTGTGACAGAAGAGAACAATGACTTCTTACCATAGATGTACCACAGCATTGTACCCAGGAAGTCCTTTGTTCCAAGAAATTTAGCAAGACCCCCAAAATATTGTTTATTTGGAATCCAAATGGTGTCAGAGTGGCCGTGAACTTCAGATGGATAATATAAGCGCAAGAAGGTACTCTGTTGAGGAAAAAACTTAATGTACTTTTAGTCCACTTGTTTCTTACATGCCAATAGCTTTTCTGTTTTATTGGTGTGAGCCCCCAAATCTGTCAATTCATGAAAAGATCTAGAAGAAAATATTTCAAGTCCCTGTGGTGATCAAATGAGTATAGTCATGAAAGAAAAGACAAAGAGAATCGCAATATGCTTTTGAAAATGATTAGCATTGTATATTTATTGCTGTATAAAGGGGTTTCATTGTGCTATGTACATAGGCACCTACAATGTACAAATGGTCAAATTTGCCTTGTTGGTATTACTCTTTTTCGACTCACCTACCTTCCACTTAGTGGCTTATTATGCTATTTTCATCCACATATATCAGTAAAATATATTATATATACATATATAATATTCTTTGATCCTTTTCACTTTCTTTTCTTTTTTTTTTGTCGGTTATGGGGCTTGAACTCTGGGCCTGGACGCTGTCCCTCAGCTCTTCACCTCAAGGCAAGCGCTCTACCACTGAGCCACAGTGCCACTTCCCCTATTCACTTTCAATACCCATTCCTTTTGCCTTCCTTCTGGATGCCTTTCCCAAAACCCCCCTTTTAGAATCATATATGATTACTATTATTATTATTATTTCTACATTATTATTATTATTTCTGGGTTCTACTTTTTGAGAGATATGGGCAGCCATGTTTCAGCCATTAAGGAAGGAGAGAAAACAGTTCATAAGCAAATGAATCAGTTGACAATAAAGAATTTGGGAGTGAGTCAGTCAGCGCAAGTCCTCAGGTAGAGCTCTACAAATGGAGAGTTATTCTCAGATGGGGGGGAGCAAGCTTTCTCACCTGCTGGTGTTTCCCAATAACTCATAAAGAGGACTCATAGTAACCCAAGCATTACCTCATTGGTGTAACCAACCATCAAGTCCGTACAACCAACGGGATAAGGTCCATGTCCTTTGGGAATTTTAGCATGTCCAAAACTTGCAGCCATCATCAGAGCTTGTATTTTATAGAGCCACACTGAAAAACAAGTCAGGGTTATCTCAGGTAAACATACGGAGGCTCCTCCCGACCATTATACCTCAGGCTTTATCATTCAAGGACTTCCAAGGGATCCAAGTCAATGCCAGACTCTTCCATGTCTTAACCATCTACCCAAGGGTCTCTTTCTTTTCTTTTTTTCTTTTGGTTGGTCATGTGGCTTGCACTGTCCGTGAGCTTTTTCACTCAAGGCTGGTGCTCTACCACTTTGAGCCACAGCGCCACTTCTGGCTTTCTGGTGGTTCACTGGAGACACAAGTCTCACAGAACTTTCCTGCCTGGACTGGCTTTGAACCATGGTCCTCAGATCTTAGCCTCCTAAGGAGCTAGGATTACAGGTGTGAACTACTGCTGACAACCAGCACTTGCCCTCTTCTTTTACTCCCATTTAGAATATGTCAAAGGTGACTTTCTAAATCTGGTTTTGTGTTTTGTTTTTTCTTGAACATGAATTTTATCAGGCAGACCTGTGCTGACAGCTTCTCAGTGGGCATCTTCCCCTGTGGACCTTCCCATAGCAATGTCCAAAATGAAGCTAGATAGCCATCTTCACCTCTGTCCTCTAGCCACACCGCCTGCAATTCCAGAATTTCCTGTCTCGTATGTCCTGCCAAAAAGCTGGCAATCATATCCATCTCCTTCTTGGCTCACCGAGTCCCTCCATTCAACCAACTGCTAATTCCTAGCATTTGTTTTGAATTTAGAATTCCCTCCCCAGTACACTTCTGATCCTCTAGCATAAGGCTCTCTGTTTCTTGAATAAACAGTTAAAATCTTTTCTCATCATTCCATTCAAATTGTATTTTGACCCTTTCAAACACCTAGTCAGGGCCCAATAAGTGTTTGTAGAAATGAGCTGAACCAAATTGAAATGCCACCGGTCTTGATCTTTTTCGTAAACCATCCTGTGCAGCCTTTCATCCAACCATTCCTGAGACTTTTCCTCTCTCTAGTGCCCACACCCTCCCACTTACCTGTAGAGCTTCTTCTGTCTTTCTAAAGCAGAAATCTAAGTTTTACGTTAAGATGTTAGGTCCAAAGATCATTTTCTTCAGAATCTCAGCACAGGCAGCCTGTCTACACATTCTCTCTATTGGACCTTTAGCAGTGGGTTACTCTGCTGGACACACTCCTGTGTTTTTCAATAACAATTTTGCCTTTGCTCGTCAGACCCCAAGAACTATGCCAGGCATGGCACCTGGGTTGCTATGGGACATTGCTCAGGAAAGTTCTGCGTCATGGGAACAAGCCTATTTACATCCTCCACTCTCTGACTCAGCTGGGAAGCACGTGCCAGTAACACAGGCTTTCAGTAGGTAGGGCCTCTCTCCTCAGCACTGGTGCATGAGCCAGTATCATGAGCACAACTGAGGCTTGAAAAGGAAGGCTTCTAGAGACCTTATCTAATTCTATTGAATCAGAAAAGGTTCAGATGAACCTTTAAGACACGCCATTCTGAAGTACCATGAAGAAACATCATTCTGAAATTCCAGCTCACTCGGTCTGCCACATGGGTCACCAATCTGGGTTTAATGATAGGAGACCATTCCAAAAAAAGGGCGTAGGGTGAGCTGAACAGCCCCTGGGTCTTAGACGCAGGGTGACCCTCTGACAGATGGCAGTTCAGATGACTGCTCTGGTTCTGGCTGTCACTGACCATCCTAGTAAAGTGGAAATGAAGCATCTGACCAGCCTCCAAGATGAGTGGAAGGACAAAACGGTAGTGTACCTCAAGTAGCTAGCACAGAGCATGGCCTGGACCAGGCAGGCCACTGGTATTATTTGTCCCCTTCCCCAGGGCTAATTAATCTAAGTAGCCAAATTTCATGCTGAACTCCTTAGAGGAGTTTTAGCAGATCTAAGCTGGAACACCCTAGTTTCTCTTAGAGCAGATTCAAAATTCAGAGCATTTCCTCTGAGCCTTTCTTTTGTTTTTAAACTTCACCAGTAGGTAAACATTTCTATTTAGACTTACAAGAGGCTCCATTCAAAACTGTCTATGGAGCCAGGCTTTGTTGCTGTAATGGGGAAAGGTCAAGTCACTGCCCAGATACAGTAGGAGAGATTGCTCTCCTCTGAAGAGCCATCAGTGAGATGTTATGTCACCACCCACAGGGAATCGTGATGAGGCTAAACATGAGTGGTTTGGGGGGCTACAGACAGCTCTCACAACTCAACAAAAGAATCCTAAACCCCCATGGCTACCCCTGGGGACACTCGTTCTAGAACTGATTCCAGAACTATCCCACACAAGCGGATCTCTTCCCACGTGAGAGGTGAGTTCTACTGAGGCCATGGGGCCTCTCCAATAATGTAGGGGTGCCCCGGCTCTTCAAAGCCTGGGGGTCTCCCCACCCAAGACTCAGAGCCACAAAAGGACAGAAAATACATCTTGAAATGTTCACCCTGTAGCAATCTCAACAAGCAGTGGGTGATGTAATCAGACCACAGACTAAATCATCCATCATGAGCAGTGCTACCTATCTTCAGTCCATTGAAAAGATGGTGGGAAAGATAATATCCTCTCAACTAGACTCCAGGCTCCTTAACTGCATGCTCCTCATCAACCAGGCATCGTAATGCCTTAACTTACTGCTAAGCATCGAGAGAGATCTGACTCCATTTCCTGAGCAAGTGCACACATAAGATACAGATCTCCTCCTACTGATGAATCGTTTCCCCAATCATGAAGCAGAGCAAAAATTAATCTCTGTAACCCTGAGTTACGCAATCCCTTTTGTAAATTTTAAGGTAAGGAGTCACCTACTGAGCCTGAACAACCAGATCCAGGGCGACTACCTCTACCCAGGTGTGCGGCTGTGTGGGTGCAGGTAGTATGAAACCACTCACGGTCCACCCACACATCTCGCTGTAGAAGAGGAGATAGGGAAGTTCGTGCATCACGGGCCTCTGTGCTATGGGATGGGCAGGAGCTCACAGCGCGCTGGAAAACAGTCTTCACAGTAAAGGTCCTTCTTGGTGACCCCAAGAACGTTCTTCTCTTCTAGAACATTCTAGAACTTCTAGAGCATTCCTGTCACCCCAGAAGATCCCTGTTCCCATGAGCATTCTCCCCCTTGCCCAGCCCACAGCCCCTGATGACCTCAAGTCTGTCATCTCTGGAGTTCCTGCCTTAGATGTTCATGTCTAGAGATGGCTTTCCAACTCCAGCCACTACCCCTGAGCGAATCTATGCTCTCCTCTCCTTTCCTTAGCTCAAGGTTAGAGAGGAAGTCCTGTAGACTTGTAGTCCCCACAGCTCCCCACTCTTTTTGTTTGTTTGTTAGTCCTGGGGCTTGAACTCTGGGCCTGGGTGCTGTCCCTCAGCTCTTCAGCTCAAAGCGAGCACTCTACCACTTGAGCCATAGTACTACTTCTGGTTTTCTAGTGGTTCATTGGAGGTAAGAGTTTCACGAACTTTCCTACCCGGGCTGTCTTTGATCCTCAGATCTCAGCCTCCTGAGTAGCTAGGATGACAGGCGTGAGCCACTAGCACCCTGCAGCTCCCCACTCCTAAGTAGGAAAGATCGTTTCTCTTTGGAGCCAAGACCCCAGCTTATCATTTCACCACCATGTACTACTAGCCAGGACTGTGCCTATTGGTCAAGATCCTATTGGTCGGGACACCTACTTCTCTCCCTTCATGGAGAAGGTCGGAGACTGCCTTGGGCTGAACACCAGAGCCTTTGCATTACTGAGCCTGGGTCAGAGTGGGCTAGGGCAGAGAGGGGCAGGGAGGGGGCACCGAGGCCTTGCCAGGTCAGATGCCAGTGGTTCTTACAACGCCTCATTCTGATCCATCCTGTAGTTAGTCATGACAAGAACAGAGACAATTCAGTTTCATGTGTAAACAAAGAAGAACAAGGTCCTCTCCTCTACCTAGGAGATGGAGAAAATCCACTCGTATTTCTTTCTGAAGACTGACCCAAAAGGACCTCATGTTTGCTAGGCGGGTGCTCTACCATTTGAGCCACACCTCCAACCCCCTTTTCCCACTGGTTATTTTCTTTCTTTCTTTTTGTTGGTTGTGGGGCTTGAACTCTGGGCCTGAACACTGTCCCTCAGCTCTTCAGTTTTAGAGAGCGCTCTATCACTTGAGCTACAGTGCCACTTCCTGTTTTCTGGTGGTTTATTGGAGATAAGAGTCTCACGGACTTTGGAGATTGGTTTATTGGAGATTGGTGCCCGGACTGGCTTTGAACCAAGATCCTCAGATCTCAGCCTCCTGAATAGCTAGGATTACAGGCATGAGCCACCAGCGCCCGGCTTCCACTGGTTATTTTCAAAGTAGAGTCTTGCTTTATGCCCAAGCTGTCCTAAACTTGGATTTTCCTACTTGTCTATCACTGGGGATGATTGGCAGATGCCACAGTGCCCAGCTACTGCATTTACCCCTTAGCTAGGAGACTAGGCATGTATCATTACATCTAGCCTGAGGTTGAGATGCCATCTCATTAGCTTCTGAGCCACCCAGCTCTCTTCTGTGGGCATCTTTTTGTAAGACTTTCTTAAAAGTTCCAGCCATACAACATCTCTGTGGTCATTTGGAACCTGGCAAGGAGTCAATTGTTGGATGCTCTGAATAGATCCACCTCTTACCTGATGGCTTGAAACTGGCAACAGGATTTAGGTCTTGCCAGGAAAAAGGATGAGCCAGTGAGAGGCAACAGCAGAGGTAGAAAAGCATTTGCAATTTGGGTGGCGCCATCTTGGATGCTGAGTACAGATTTCGGCTTTACCTTCAAAACAGATCGTCAAAAGTTAAAAAAAAAAAAAAAAGAAAGAAAGAAAAAAAAAACCATAAGAGGACTTAATGGGCTGACCAATCAGCAAAGCCCAGCGACAGCTGGGGGAAAATGGAACGTGCATTTTCTGCTGTGGGTTTTAGATGGGTACTAGAGTGGTGAAATCCTTTCTACTACTGGATTGTAGAGCAACCAAATGAGCCTTTCAGACAGTTACATTAAGTTTTTGGTCACTGGTGCCTTCACTGCGTAACAGTCTGGTTTGGTTATTTAAAAAGAGCATCAAAAAATAATGATGCATGACAATCACACGCTATCATATTCAAAATATCCATAGAGACATCTAACACAGGGTAGCCAATAGGTTCTGTCTCATTTTCCCATCATAATTATACAGTGACTATATCGCTATGGCTGCAGTTATTTTTAGTGTTGATGATCTTGTAATTTTTTTCTGGGGATTCCTAAAATCATGTATGCGGTCAACTTCCAAAATGCAGATGGCAGGTCTTGTTGGTTGTGCTTGAGTGTCACCGTGGGCCTGACGTGCACTTGTGAGTGTGAGGGCTTTTCCTTGTGCACAGGCCCACCTGGTCCCTGCCTCAGGTCAGGACAGATGTGTTGTTCTACCAGGAGGCAGCCCTCATCCCACTTTCTCCAAAGCCAGCCAGGGAATATTCTCTGTGCCTGGCTGCTCAAATGGCACCAAAAGACAAGACGCTACCCACCTTGGCAAAAAGCAGAGGCTCACCTGCTTGGGCCCAGTCTGACTGTAGGTTCCCCCCCCGTACATCTAGCAGGCCCCCCACCTTCTCACGCTGGTGGCTGTGGGGGCAGGCTTGCTGTTCTCTGCCCTTTTTATGATCATTGCTGAGCAAAGGTCCTGGCATATAGCAAGTGCTAGTAAGTATTTCTTGAATGAGGAGAAAGAGGTTCTGTCTTCTTTATAGTCTGGGTTGCCAGAAACACATTTCCAGAGGGTGTCAAAACAAGCTGTGACCTGGTAATACTCCCTACCAGGCTGGGGTAAATGGCTGAGGCTTTTGCATGTACTCACTTCTAAACAGTACTAGTTATCTTTTACTTTCCCCAACATCTCCTAGACACCAATCTCCTTGGAGCCACTACAAGTTTTTCTCAAGAGGAAAAGAATCTCATGTCATTGGGAAAAGATGGTTGAAAGAAAGTAGTTTTTTCATGTCCTGAAAATCAGATCCCAGATCCATAATTCACTTTGACTATTGCCCTTTCTTCTGACTGCCAGGTTCAGCAGGAGCAGGGGAGGATGGTCTCCATCACCCAGCCCTGCAGGGGAGAGGAGAGAGAGTCTACTCATGAGGAACATGGCTTGTGATTTGACCTCTATGTTTGGGAGAGGTAGGACATGCTCCACCCTGACCGCCATCCTTTCTTAGGCCCCAGTGAACAGCAAAGGTAGGAAGAGAGGTAGCTCTGCTCTGAAACATGACTTCCCTGAGCGGGGGAGGGGGAAGGGAGGGCAGTGAAGCCAGGCCCTTCTCAGGGCATCTCACAGTGAAGCGAGCAGTTGTGGTCAAGAACTCTCTCTCAGACTAAACTGCTGGGGTTTGTTTTTAAATAGGGTGAATTATTGGTGGGTTTTTTTTTTGCCAGCTTTACACTTTCTAAACCTTCTATCAGATTGTCTTAGATCAGAAAGAAGACCGCATGACGCATGTCTCTGGAATGCCAGCGAACTCCCCACTGAAATATCACAGAGATCTGAGGGAAGATTTGGATGGTTCCTAGGGTCTCAGCTTGTCCACTGTGGTTTTATTTTCCCTCACGAGTAGTAACTCTTTGTGTATAGCAAAGAAGTAGGGCGCCTTCAACTCAGATCTCTGGAATCCAAACACATGGCTAGTTAAGAAACAAAGAGAAGGTGGTATGAGATAAAATAGTCACTTATTAAGTAGTTACGGTGTGCCAATCACTGTTATAGTTTATCTCATCTCTCATACCAAGAAGTATTGATATGAATTAGAGCCAGGATCAACGAACTCAGCCTTTTGAAACATATATTTTTAAACAGCATAGTACAGCCTTGTTTTTATTTTAAATATGTAATTTGCAAGCACAGGAAAAAGCATAAGTGACTATAATCCCAGAATGTTTACAGAGTTTATGTTTAAGGTACTATATTATGGGTGGTTATTTTTTTGGGGGGGGGTCTGTTCGTGGGGCCTGAACTCTGGGCCTGGGCGCTGTCCCTCAGCTCTTCAGCTCAAGGCTAGCACTCTACCACTTGAGCCACAATGCCACTTCCGGCCTTTTTCTTTTTGCTTATGTGGTGCTGAGGAATCGAACCCAGGGCCTCAGGAATGCAAGGCAAGCGCTCTGCCACTGAGCCAACTTCCCAGCCCCTGGGTGGTTAATTTTTAACATTTACTTGGTATGTCCTTCTCTCCCTCAGTTATAACAAAAAATATGTGTCTAGATTCACCAAGTATCTCTTGTTGAATATTGTACTCAGTTGAAAACTCATCAGGCCACATATAGGGCAAACAGGTATAGGCAAAAGTATAAATCAAATTTGGGAGATAGAACAAAATCGTACACCAGGTGATAAAAGGTGATGTCAAACAGTTAGTGCACATTACTGTTTAACATTTAAACTGTTTTCTTATCCAATCTCTTTCCTGAGTTCCCATACCCTTTGTCTTCTTAAACATCCCTGATCAATACATTCTTTTGGTTTTGGATCCATTTCTCCACCATTCTTTCCTGGATGAGCAGTCTCACTGTCCCCTGGGATTTCCTGTAAGCAATTACCCACCCCCAGGAAAGTATCACATATTTCAATCAAATATAACCAACCCCCCCCCACCTCATTATGGAAACAGAGCTTCTTGCTTTTCCAAACAACCGATGACTTTTACACTGCCACATGTCGTTGGCTTCCTGAGACAAGGTTCTCTTCGACCTTCAGCTCTCATTGAGATGCAGGGGAGGGCACCAAACATTCAGCAACCCAGCACAGGGGAACAATTCACACACACCTTTAACTCCTAGCCGCACCCTGATCTGTTAGGATACTAGTGGGAGGGGAGAGTGAATGGAGAGGGTGAAGAAGGACAATTTTGGTCAAAACTACTTTATGAGCTCATGTGAAAATTGAACAATGATGCTTGATGAGATTGATTTGGGAAGGAGAGAGGGGAGAGGAAGGGGGCGGGGAGAGGGAGGGTGAATCTGATCCAGGTACAACAAATGCATACAGAGCCATATCAAAGTGAATCTCCCTTGGCCAACTAATTGATGCTGATAGATAATGAGGTTAAAAAAAATCGTTCATTCTTATAGTTCTCTTCCCACACATTCATGGCTTTTTCTTGAACAAGTGCTATACCTTAACTAGAACTGTATTTATGTTTCAGAAGCAGACTCTCGGAAGTCTGGTAGAGACTTGGCACGCTCACTTAGAACAAGGAAGTACAAAAAGAAAATGCAAAAGGAGTTTTCTTTTTCTTTCACTGCTGAAGATAGAGTCCTCACCCATGCCACTGAGCTACATCCCAGCCCCTCAGGTGCCGATTTACAAGTCTTTGTGATCATATTGCATGGAAAGCCGCGTTGAGAAACACCACCATGGCCCATGCAAAACCACAGCTCAGAGATACCTCTACGTGTTCACAAGACTAAGGTTCAGAAACTGTGGACTACGAAAGGGCTGGAGCAGCTACACCCTTGTTTAATGAGGAAGAGATATTTATTTCCTCTCAAAATAGACTGCAGGGAGGAAGATACCTAGACAGTAAAAGGAAGACTGCTCTGGTAATGGGATCATTCGTCAAAGCCACCTCACATGGGATCCTGCCAGGAATGCTGAAGAAAGGGCAGGTTGCCTGGGAGCTTGGACTAGGAGGTGCCCTTTTTGTCTAAGAGATGTGATTCACTTGAAAGCATCAGCAGCAACGGAAAGAAAAATCCTACTCCATGTTTGCTAAGACTGAAATGAGAGAAAAGATCATGTCTACTCTAGAACATTCTTTCATCCCTTCATGTCAAGGTCAGGTGCACCTTGCATCGCCTTCAATTCGTAAGGCCCAGTGACATCTGCAGAGTTACTTATGCCTGCCACTTGGGTGACATCTGTCATACTCTTGTGTAATTATTTCACAACCTCAGGGGGAACAAAAAGGGTCATCAAAAGAAAAAGCAGCAGCAGTTTCCTCTTATGGAAATGCCTTAATAACAGTCATTTACAAGTACTTACAAGCTATAAGGAAAATGTGTCTTTTCAATGTTTTTGTTATCTTTAAGTAGTTGTACAAAGGAGGTGCCACATAACAAAGAGGTTTATGGATAGAATGCATCTTTGTGCCACCCTTCAACATTCTCACCCCCTTTACTTTTCTCTTTGGTGGTATAGACAATGAAATCTGGACTACATTCTTCCCTCCTTCTGCCATTATTCATCTACCTCTCTCCCCTTCACTCCACCCCATCTCTTGTGTGTATCCCTTTCCTGGTGCTTATTGTTGGGTTTTAACCTAGCCTTTCTTTAAAAAATTATACTATTTGAGCTTTCCATAGAATCTATTATACGTCAATTACTTCACTTGTGACTACTGGCATACCACCCAAAGTGTTGGCTTAAGTGATTTTTTTAGCTCCTATTTTGAAAGGGAAACTTATCTGTGGACAGTGTGTGACTGTGGAGGGTAAAGATTATCTAGAAAGTTCTCAGCAGTGTGCTGCCACGTTGGAGGTTCTCAAGTTCGCTTCACCCTGGTTCCATCTTCTAGCTTCCAGCCTCCTGCCCAGACAGGCCAACTCAATACAGCCTCAGCTGTGCCCAGCCAGTGAGCCCAGGCCTTCGAGTGTTTAGACATGTTTAGGTTAACATTCAACGCAAAAGACCTAGGTAGTGTATAACTCTAGAGTTGAATTTTAAGGGATTCTCTAATGTGTTTACTATCTTTTTATCTGAAGTAATAAAACAATCTGTGATCTGGAGAGTGCGTGGATCACAGAAAGAAAGAAAGAAAGAAAGAAAGAAAGAAAGAAAGAAAGAAAGAAAGAAAGAAAGAAAGAAAGAAAGAAAGAAAGAAAGAGAGAAAGAAAGAGAGAGAGAGAGAAAGAAAGAGAGAGAGAGAGGGAGGGAGGGAGGGAGGGAGGGAGGAAGGAAAGAAGGAAGGAAGGAGGGAGGGAAGGAGACAGGGAAGGAGACAGGGAGGGAAGGAGACAGGGAAGGAGACAGGGAGGGAGGGAAGGAGGAAGGAGGGTAGGAGGAAGGAAGGAAGGAAGGAAGGAAGAAGGAAGGAAAGGAGGGAGAGAAGGAGGAAGGAAGGGAGGGAAGGAGAGAGGGAGGAAGGGTGAACTCGCAGATCTTACCAGTTCACTTGTTGAATGTCTCATGGACAAACCAAGATGAATAGTGAGTTACAAAGGAAAGATCTTGTTTGTGTGCCCGTTAACAGTAACAATAGTTGATTCTGTGCCAGGCACCATTATGAGCATTTTATAATACACAAATGATGTTTTCCCATTGATACACAGATGGGAAAACAGAGACAGAGAAAGCAAACTGCATGACCCAGATCACAGGGATAGGAAGAAGCTAAATAAGGATGTGAATCTAGCCTGTCCTGTCTTGGCACTACAGATATTCTGAGCTGAGAAGTCCCAGTCATGAGACCACCCTATGCATGGTAAGATTCTGCACGGCACCCCAGCCTCCGCCCACTAGAAGGCAGTAGCACTACCCCCACCCCAAGTGAAGGAACAATGAGAAGTTGACAACCAATACTTGTCAAATACCCCTCTGGGGGAAGAAAAGTCACTTTTAGCCGAATGCCTATACATGGATCAGTTCTGTTATAAAAGCCCACGAACAAAGAAATCCTAAAAGAAGTCAGAATAATGGATTCGCTTTCGCCCAAAGACATTCTAGACAATGTAACCCAAAATGCAGCATCTTAGAGACCGAGAGGCAAGCCTATTGCTTCATGCTATAACCATTAGGCCATGTCTTATTTAACTTGGGGGCTTTAAGGGCTGAATCAATGAAAGGTCACACAGAAAGAAGAACTCAGCGAGCACCAGAAGCAGGAGGGTTCTACACAACAAGTCACATAGATGAAGAATGAGGAAAACTCTCATGGTGTGTGGCAGACAGAGTTCTGAACCAAAAGCCCCAAGCACCGCCTATGTTGGCTCAGATTGAAAATTCCACATGTAGGAACATTTCCACACTTACCAGGCTCTAGAGAAGCAAACTACATATCTGGGGCCTACAAGCAGAGAGGTACCATAGTAGGGACCCGAGCAATGGAAGATGTAGAAATGGAAAAGTCTTAACCAGTCCAAGCCTGAGGCTAAAAACCAAGTCGACCAGCCTTCTAGATAACGTTTTGGTCCGTGTGTTGTTTATCGTAGTAGTAAGGATTAAAAGCCAGCAACTTGTGTTTGCTAAGTAAGCACTCTCTCACTGGAGCCACATCCCCCAGCTGTTTTTCACAATTCTGCCTAAACCCACCTGAGACAGACCATAATCCTCCCGTGAGTAGCCAGGATCGCAAACACCTCTCACCATGTCTGGCCCCCATCTGGGCCATTTAAAGGAGTCACACTGGCTTCTGCAGTATAGAATACGGACTGGTGGGCTTGTGACAGACAGGGTCATCCAAAAGTGGGGGAAAGAGCCCCCCTCCAGTGGTTTGTTCCCATGTAGAAATGAGATCTCGGCACGAGGGAAACTGACTGTTATGTTTTACTTTTTTTTAAGCTGGAAAAGTACACTTCTCTGTAATAACCATTGAATGTTAAGGAGTATCAACCAAATCAATAGTCAAAAACATTCCGTGAACCAAACAAAATCAACCGATGGCTCCAAGCTCCATAACTAACTTATCCTTTACAGATGTCCCAACCCGTCCCATAGGCCTTCCTACGAAAGCACAGTATGACAAAACAGAAGTGGTGGTATGCTTTTCAGGGATTTGAATCACCAGACTGGCCACCTGGCGCTCAAATTCTGGCCTAGCAATCCATACATAGCTAGTAGCATCTAGCAAGGGAACAGAACCCAGAAGCTGTTAAGTCATAAAGAAGGGACATTTCTTTGCACACAGTGTAAATAAGGAAGGGCCTAATTTCTTCTAAACGAACCCACCCTGTCCTTGTAAAAATGTCTAAATCAGCAGGCACTGGGGTGGCTCACGCCTGTCATCCAAGCTATTCAGGAGGCTGAGATCCGAGGGTTGTGGTTCGAAGCCATCTAGGGCAGGAAAGACTGAGACTCTCATCTCCACTGAACTACAAAAAAAAGCCAGAAGTGGAGCTATGGTTCACGTGGTAGAGCGCCAGCCTTGAGGACAAAAGCTCAGGGACAGCGCCCAGGCCCAGAGTTCTAGAACCAAGACAAGCAAAAAAAAAAAAAAGAAGTCAAATAAATGAGAAAAGAGAAGTGGTTTGCCTCACATGGCGCTCCAGTCATGAGAAGGTCACCCCTACACTAGTTGGTAAACAACCTCAAACGCTTCCCTGATTTTTTTTTTTTTTTGCTGGTTGTGGGACTTGAACTCTGGGCCTGGGCACCATCCCTCAGCTCTTCAGCTCAAGGTGAGCACTCTACCACTTGAGCCACAGCACCACTTCTGGTTTTCTGGTGTTTTTTTTTTTTCTTGGAGATAAGAGTCTCATAGACTTTCCTGGCCGGGCTGGCTTTGAACCTGGATCCTCAGATCTCAGCCTCCTGAGTAGCTAGGATGACAGGTGTGAGCCACGGGCACCCAGCTTCCCTGATTCTTAAAAGCTTAGCAGTCGACAGAAGTGGTTCCAGTCTTTCCTGAGGGAGAACACCTCATTTGGGGAGACTGTCCTGTTCAACGCCACAGGCACAGCCCGCCCTGGAAATCAGTGCCCTGTGGCCAGGGCTGTCATCAGCCTGCGGGCCTCTCAGACAGCTGCACAGCCAGGGCGACAGCCAATCTACTCAAGAAAAAAGAAAGTCGCACATTTCCCCAGTTCCAGTTTCAAACAGTCTAGTTTTGCATTTTACTCGAGTCTCTTTAACTTCCTTCACCAAGCCAGCTAGGATTCTGCCTGTGATGCCACTGCATTCTGATAGCACACGTGTTAGGGTCACTCTTGGAAGGTTTCCATGGCTCTGAACAGAGCAAAATGTCTTGGGTTGCTGGACCAGCCCCTGACGTCTCCAAAGGCTTTCCTCAACCGTGAAAGGGGTGACAAACCACATTAGTGGCTCTCTCACCGCGACTGGTTGGCTTACTGAGGATTCGGAGCTTCACGCTCCGTGCCTCTGTGGGCAGGGAGCTTTGTGTGTGTGGGAGACCTGGGACACTTCCACAGAGAGTATCTGATGTGCAGCAGCAGCAGCCTCTGTGCCCCGAGGTCAGGGGAAGGCAAGCCTCAGTTTCCCTGTGCCAGGTGCCCAAACAGGCATGCTGGATGATGCTAACTTGGGTGAGCTCTCTCGCCTCTTTCTGCAGGGTCTAGGTAAGGAAATGGACTAAATGCCCCCATCCCGGAGTTCAGGGCCAGTTCCCAGCCTCTGGGATTGTAAAGGCTTCAGGGCACTTACTGTCCAGCTCCTCCTCACCCACCAGTCTCCCAGCTCAGAATGCTCATCTGGGTCAAAGGTAATTTGCAACCTGACTAATGTGATGACCTGTCCCTCCCAAGGTGACAGGATCTTGTGCATGGGCGGGACACACCTCTCTTTCCTTCCTGACACTAAGAACACCAGCCTGAAGGAAAAAGCCCGGTGCTTCCAAACCAATCCCACCACCAAACTCTTCCATTAGAACTTCCAGGAGGTGGTGAAGTGGACAATCCTCTGTTTGCTGGGTTTGCTGAGCTTTTGTTTGCATCCCCCCCCCACCATTCCAAGTCCCCTGTTTGGCTCAAGAGAGAATAACTAGAATGGTATTTGGCCATTAAAAGTAATAAATAATAATAATAATAATGACTCTGTTGCAGGAGTAGCTCTCACCGGCTTTCTCCAAGGGAGGTGCACAGGGGAACAGCTTCAGTTCCCTTTAGGTCAGAGCCTCACCACCCGCCCTGGTTCAGCTGGGGGAAGTGCGCCATCTGTCACCAAGAAGGCCCCTGGTTGTCGGGGGAGGAGGGCCCTCCCCCCCCCTCGCCCTCACCTGGCCCTGCTCACCTGAGCTGGGAGTCTTCCCAGGAGCATGGAGCGCGCGCAGCAAGCTGTCACCAGCTGTCACCCCGGCCAGTGCTCTCTGCAAAGAGCTGGGCAGCGGCTCCGGGGCTGAGCACTGCCTCCAGGCCCCGCGTCCCCGCCCCCTGCGAGGAGGGGCCGGGAGGAGCCTGCCTGGCGCTGCTGCTGCTGCTGCTGCTGCTGCTGCTCCCCGCGAGGACCCTGCCACTGGCCACAGACGCACCCACTGCCCCCAATGTCCTGCTCTGACCCCACCCAACAGACCCGCATCCATCCCCCCCCCTCGCTGCTTGACTCTTGATTTTTGGAGTCACAAAACGTGCTTAGCTAGGAAGATGGAAGAATCTGGAAAAAGGAATAGGCTGGACTCGATCGTCCACAGGCCACGACTGTTTACTGCCAGCGAGGGGCACAGAACTTCACCGTGGGTTTGGAGGTTGTGCCAGGGACTGGATTTTGGGGTGGGCTTAATAGGCCTTCACAAGGAAGCAGAAAATTAAAAAGCGGGGGGTGGGGAGCTATGGTCTCCTGGGGGCCCAGGGCAGTGTCCCTGGGGACAGGCAAATGGTGGATAGACATGTGCTGGGCAGACATGTGGTCAAGCCTGTTCCTGGGATCCTGGTGTCTTGCCTGGCCTAGGGTAGTAAGGCAGGAGTCAATCCCTCCGTGCTCAATTGCTAGGAGCACAGTTCCAATCTGACAGGGCCTGGCCACCTCTGCATTTTGGTCCATTGTGCACTGACCTTGAACACTGATTCAGAGTTGGAGGATTGCCCACAAGGCAGAAAGGCTCATTTGATATTTGGTATCCAAGCTGAAACACGGGGCCTCGACCATGTGGGGGAAGGGGACACAAGAATGGAGGGAGGAAGGGTCATTGTGTCCAATGTACATTGTGTAAAAATCAAGCTACTGAACGTGAGGGTAGGAATGGAATGGGGAGAGATGGGGGAGAAAGACGGGCTGATATCGATCAAGATTCACTGTACTCATAACTTGCCTTTGGGAGCTGAAACTCCTTTGTACAGCTAGTTGATAAAAAGTAAATAAACCTATTTTGTATACAATACTAATATCTTTAGAACAATGACTTGTTTCAACCTAGCAATGGACAAAACTTTAAATAGGCCCAGTGCAGAGACTCACACCTGCCATCCTAGCTACTCAGGAGGCTTAAACAAGAGGCTTACAGTCCAGGCTAGTCTGGGCAACAATGTGACCTTCTATTAGAAAAAAATATTAAAAGCAAAACTGACTAAGGGCGTGCCTAAAGTGGTAGAACACCTGCTTGGTGACATAGGACTCTGAGTTCAAAACCCCAGTACCACTAAAAGATTTTAAAATTCCATCTGCTCAGCCTCATGAAGTAAGGATGCTGAGTCTAAGTAACTTCTGAACAGCCATCCTGTGCCTCTGGCTGGGTGGAGGGAATTCCTCACTCAGTGCTGGAAAGCCCAGAGGTCAGAGAAGCTGTTGATGAGCTCCCTAAATGGTGTGAATTAGTAGCCTCTGAGTAGCCTCTAAGTATACCCTACGTGGAAGGTTGAGGCCTATCTTCCCTACATGGAAAAGTTCTGCTGGTACCTGATTATGTCCATTTAAGGTCAGGCATCTTGTCTTCATGGTGGAGGAAGGTGAAGACCCCACCTCCCAGGTGATGGACGTGTCTGGATCCCTGGAGCTAGGGCAGGCACATGGCTGGACCTGTCAGTCCAGTACCTAGGACTGGGGCATCCTGTGACCCTGTCCCCCTGGCCTGACCCTATTTAGGCCTGGAACAACACAGATGCCTGCACGCCATGCCTCACGTCTCTGTGTTCTTGTCCTGTGTCCTGTTTCCTGTCTCCCGGCTCTTCTTCTCCAGTCACCTTGGTGTCCTACTTCAGCTCTTTTTTGCTCTTTCTTTCCTCTCTGGCCTGTTTCCTAACAGTGTTAAGTGTGTGTGCGGGCTGCAGGCTTTTGTAACAATTGGCTATCCACAGACTGGTATGGCTGTAATAAAATAACTCCAAGATTCATCTTCTCACGATATGGTTTCTCTGAATTGTCAGCTTACAACATTTGCGGAATGGCAGTGTTCTAGAGTGCACAGCAGTGTTCTACCAAAGGGATTTCCAAGGCTCTTCTTTGGCCTTGCAGCAAGGTCTTAAAAAGATGGACTGAGAGAAACCCAAGGCACTTCTTCCTAGTTATTCTTCAGACAGGGTCTCGCATTCATGCAAAGCAGCCTTGACTCACGATCCTCCCATTTCATTTTCTGAGCAGCTGAGATGACAGATGCACACGACCACACCTAGCTTTTGGTTGAGATTGGGGTCTCCAAAACTTTTTGCAGGGGTTTAGCCTCAAACCATGATCCTGTCCCCTGCAGCTGAGGTGACAAGTATGAACCACAGTTGATTTCCACTGCATATGGATATAACTGGTTTACCTGCATGTTCATATGCTATTGTTTCTTTTCATGGGCTAAAAGCAATGGCTTTTTGTCTTCAGGTGTACAAGCAGAAGCAGTGGCTTTGGAGTTAGCTTTATACCTGCTGGACCTGGCCACCTGGTCAAGCTTCATGCTGGATAGTCACAAAATGCTGCTTTGTTTGCATGCCTTAAACATGTTCATGATGGAGAAAATGGCTGGATTACTAATTCAATGCAGCATCCACATAAATGTATAGGAAGAGATGTACTTCAGGGTTATGTTTTCAGTGTTGAGGTTTGAAGTCAGGGTCTCGTGTTTGCTCAGCTTGCTTGCATGACTGGCATCCTATATCACATGAGCACACCCCTATCCCAAGTTTTGGCTGGTTATTTTGGAGGCTAGTGGACTTTTCTTCCTGGGATGGATTCAAACACTAATCCTTTGGATCTTCGACTCCTGAGTAGCTAGGATTGTATGTGAGAACCACTAATAAAGTCCTATTAGCATTTAATAGTATTATAATAATCTTGCAAAGCTCATATATCCACATCTATGCTACCTGCTTGTAAAACTATATAATATTTCTCCTTAATGGTGGAAATTTGAGTTGTTTATGATTTTTGAAATGGTACACCAGTGATATTCTTAGTTGAATCTTTGCTCATGTTCGTAATGATTTTCTCTGTTCTAAATACCAAGGAATGGACTTTCTGAGGGACATTAAGTGCAGTTCTTTTTGTTGCTGTTGTTTTTTGTTTTTGTCATTCTTGGGCCTTGAACTCTGGGCCTGGGTGCTGTCTCTGAGCTCTTCAGTTCAATGCAAGAGCACTTTACCGTTTGAACCACAGCGCCACTTCTGCGTTTCTGGTGGTTTATTGGAGATGAGTCTCATGGACTTTCCTGCCTGGGCTAGCTTTGAACCATGATCCTCAGATCTCAGCCTCCTGAGTAGCTAGGATGATAGGCATGAGCCACCAGCACCTGGCTTGTCCAGTCTTTTAAGTTACATTCACAAGTGTCCTTTAACCCAGATTATATCTTAAGGTCTGGTGGCAAAAGTACTTCTCCAAAAGTGATGAACTTGCAGTCATATAACTTCCTCTTTTCTAAACTTGTCGGTGTTTTCCATTGTACTACGAAAACAAAGTACAGTCATGCTGATGTGGCACTACGGTCTCCCCGGGACCTGCCCCCAACCACTTTTTCCTGGAGGCATCCCATATTCGACTCCGTTTGTATTCCAACATTCAAGACTTCATGTGCTGGCATCTGTTTCTGCTAGTAAGATGCTTACTTTTTCAGTCCAGGTCCCGTCCAGGAAGCATGGACCATACTTGAACTGGTTTGTCTTGATGACAAGAGATTCTTGCCAGAGGTAGAAACAAACTTTAGGAAGTCTAATAGTCCCAGTGCAGTATCTTGAGAGGCCTCATCACCCATGGGCTTGAAGGAGAAGGAACAGGACGCAATGGCTGGCTCTTGGCAAGGGTAACAATATGGAAAAGTCCACCTGACAAGAACTATGGCCTCCCCAGCAAACATGGCAGCCGGGTGGGAAGGAAACCAAGGGAACACTCTGATCCCATTCTTTATTGACCCTTCAGTCTCCCGCTGGAAATTATCTAGGCCTGACTAGAAGGCAGAAGATCCCATTCTTTATTGACCCTTCAGTCTCCCACTGGAAATTATCTAGGCCCGACTAGAAGGTAGAAGCGTTGGAGCTCATGAGGGATATCCGTGCGGGGCGGAGATAATAGTGAGTGGATTGGATGAGACAAATGGAAGATGTCTGGAACACACACATGTGCTTCCATGTATGTTTCTCTGAGGACGCTTAACGGGATCCTCATTATACTTAGTTTGTGGCATATCTCACCTCCTCAAACAGATCAATGCCTTTGTAAAGAGAGATACGGTCTTTCTTGTGTGTGGCTTTATTCCTCAAAGAGAATATTCCGTCAGGGAAGTTGATTCAGGGTATCCGTGGTACACAAGAAAGGCTGGAAATAAAAAAGAGTCTCTGGGCCAAGGTGACTGGGCACAAGTGGGGTAAGATGACGTCAAGGCAGGAAGCTAGAACCTTTCTGTAAAGCCCATCCGAAAGTCAGTATGTAAGAAAGCCACAAAGACCCATCTTCAGGCTGCAGCTCACCCAACAGAGGCAGAAGGAGCCTCCTCGCTAGCTATTTCTCTGCTCCCAGACTTTGCTAGCAAAACACCACCTTAAAGGAAACGTGGCCTACCTGGAAGTCATTAACTCTGTTCAACAAGACTTCATAAGCCTCCCAGGAGACCACTACGTAGCCGTAGCAGCCACAATAGAATCTTAGAATCAGCATAGCCCTCTCTCCAGCCCAGTCACAGAGATGGTCCAAGATGTCAATCAACCATGGTCCTCTTTCCTCAGGAGGCAAGCCTTGAAGAGCTTCTGAAAAGTGAGTAGAGACTAAAGGGATCAGATGTTCTGGAAACCTCAGCAGGGACTTGATTCTTGTCTTTCAGATCCAAAATGCGGGGAACTCTCGAGAGATCAAAGAGCTGAGGTGGATCAGCTCTCTCAAGCATTCAACAAGAAGTAGAGCAAATTGGTGTGACTGTTTAAATTGACTGGGTCTCAGTTTCCATGTCTGCAAACCACTTATATTTCATGGCTGGAGTTGGTGCTGGTGAAATAATAACATGCTGAGAACAATATCGTGTGCAAGGAGGCATCCCTTCCACTCATTCTCCATCCCCTCAACGAGTCTCCATTACCTTCAGCTGCTCTCAGGTACCCATCTGCCCACGTTGCTGTATTTTCTCTTTCATAGACATTGAGGTTAGAAATCCATCATTTCCCAGGCAGGAAGTCTTAGCTTCCATGATGTTTCAAATCCAAGTGACTTGGATTTGAATACAGCGGGGCAGATAAAAACATCCCGATCGACCAGAGGACTTGAATACACCTCCCTCCCTTTTCTTGTGTCTATCGTAGGGATAAGAATGGTATCTGCTCCCACACAATTAAACGTGTCAACCCGTGTGGATTTATTGCCATTACTATCTGTTAAGGGACGCCACATTTGGACTAAAGAAGACAGGATTGCTCAAGAGTTTTCCTGTGAGGCAGAGGAACAAGCCCCCCTGCTTCCCCTACACGCACCCGCTACAGAGGAAGCTGAAGCTGATTGGTCAGCTTGTGCTGGGGAAGGCGGGGTCAGTTTCCATGGTGAGAGCACAACACCACCCTGGACCTTAAGTCTGGAAGGAGGCACAGAGCTCCATGGAAAAACCTAGTAAGTAGTTCATTCCCCCTCTCCTGTTGACTCTAGCAGGTATGGTAATATCTATTAAACATAAGTAGTTTCCTATTCCCCCTCTCCTGTTGACTCTAGCAGGTATGGTAATAGCTATGAAACATTTAGTATTTGTTTATTGAAGACCTGTATTCCTACTTTTTAAACCAAGATACATTTGCCAAAAAGACAAGAATTCATTTGCACTTACTCAAATGCACCTCAAGTTCACTAAAGGTAGCAGTCCGTGACACGTGCACTCCAAAGTGAAGGCAGGAAGTTTGCAAGTCCAAAACCAGCTTGGGATATATAATGAAGCCTTGTCTCGAATTAAAATCCTAATCCAACACACCAAAAAAAATCCTCAAAAAATAAGCTAATGAGTTATATCCACTTTGTGCAAAAAGAATTTTCCTTTTTTTTTTTTGGTTCAAAAAACCCCCACTGAAGTTATTTATTTTAAAATGCGTTTCATTGGCTTTAAGTGGTGGCATACAGGGGTTTCAGCTCCACACGTCGGTTTGTGAGTACAAAGCATCTTGATCGGGGTCACCCCTTCCATCACCCCTCCCCATTTACTGTTTGAAAACAGCTGTATTTAGAGTTAATTTGCTCACTATAAAACTGAATTCCTTTAAAGTGTGTAATTCCATGGGTTTTGGCATTCTAGGGTTGTGCGAACATTATCTCCTACTTTGTAATATTAAGACATTTCATTATCCAAGAAATAAATCCTGTGTTTTCTCAGCAGTCATTCTGAATGTCCACCCTCCCCCCGGCCCAGGCAATGCATAATTACCCTTTGGCCTCCATGCTTTGCTGCTGTGGGCTTGTTACATGGAGGAAAACAGGATGCTCTGCTCACAGGCCTGCTTTCAGACCCATCCAGGAAGCCCGGGTTGCAATTCAGTCCTTGTGATGGCCAGATAACATTCTTGGCCACGGGCAGTCTGCATTTTATCTATGACTCGACTGACTGACATTTGAGGTGTTTTCACTTTGTACCTATCATGGGTAATGCACAAGCATTAGTCATATGTGCAATGTTCCATAGGGATAGATATTTTCATTCTTTTGAATGCACATTCTAATAGAATATCCCCATTTCCCAATGTCAAAACTTACTACAAAGCTACAGGAATAAAGACTGCTGTGGGACTAAGAAGAGAGATATAGACCCACAGAATAGAATTGAGAACCTAGAAAAACATGCCAAATTGCTTAGACAGATGATAGATAGATGGTAGATAGACATATGGGCAGACAGAGATAATATAGACAGAACATAGGTGGAGTGATAAATATAAATAGGTAGAGATAGGAATAAAAGAAAAATATAGATGATGATAGATTCAAAATCATAACACGGAGGAAAACACAGGACTATCTCTTTGTGAGGTAGAGGTCCGGCTTCATTCTTTCGCATGTGGACATCTATCTGCTGGGCTCCATTTGCTTACAGCCACTCACCATTCCTTTCCTGCTGAATTGCTTATTGAAAACAGGAAGTGTAAGTCCTCCAACTTTTGCTATTTATTGGTTTTTTAAATTTAGGGTCAGTGTTTCAATTTCTCTGGGAATAATTTTACGGCCAAGGACAGCTTCCACTTGAATGATGACTCATGCGCAGAAAGTCGTGCCAGATCACTGGCGTGGACCCACATGTGGAACAAATTGGGCTGGTTTAGGGGTAGACATGTTTAGAGACTTACATAGAAGACAATCAGAATGCCTGCCAGATGTGATTGCAAACATGGCTGTACATTTGTGCAGGGTTAGTGGCACCTGTGGATTAGACACACTAGTATTTTTGTTCGCCATTTTCTAATCCACCAAGTACTCCAGCATAAGGGCTTTGTATCAAAGCCATGTTTTTTTGTCAGTCATGGGGCTTGAACTCTGGGCCTGGGCACTGTCCCTCAGCTCTTCAGCTCAAGGCTAATGCTCTACCACTTGAGCCACAGCACCACTTTCGGTTTTGTGTTGGTTTATTGGAGATAAGAGTCCCATGGACTTTCCTGCTCGCGCTGGCTTTGAACTGCAATCCTCAGATCTCGGTCTCCTGCGTAGCTAGGATTATAGGTGTGAGCCACCAGCATGTGGCTTGAAGCAAATTTTGAAAGCACAGTGCAGTCTATGCTGTCTTCTCTGTAACCCAACTTAGTACCTGCAGAACATGTAACCATGAGCCATGATTAACCTGTGTCCTGCACACACAGAGATTCTGACCCACCTAGAATTCAGGTCTAGGCTACTTCATTAAAAAAATATCCCTCTCTGTTCTTTTCTAGCTCTCTCTGCTCTTGGCTCTCTCTTGGCTCTCTCTCTGCTCTCTTTTCTTTCTCTCTCTCTCTCTGCTCTCTCGCTGCTCTTTTCTAGTTCTCTCTTCTCTCTCTGCTCTTTTCTAGCTCTTTCCTCTCTCTCCTTCCCAGCTCTTTCTCTTTCCTAGGCCTTTCCCAGCTGCATGGAGTGCCAACCTTGCCTGGTCCCAGCAGGTCTACTGAATAAACCTACCCCTTACCTGAAAAAAAAATCCATCAATGAATTTTCATGAGAACAACTGCTGTCTCGTGCAAGGTTCCACTCCTCCTCTCTGCCATCGAACCCCTGCTTTCTGTCCAGAAAGATCCCGCATCTTGCAGTCTGGTGAATGAACTAGTTGTGATCACTAAGGAAGGTTCCCAGGTCTCACCAAATCAGAATCGGCCATTAAGCAAGAGCACAAAGTGGTTGGTTTTCATGCAGACCATGGTGTACAAGCCAATCAGTTCCCACTTTTGCAACCTTAGATCACCATCTAAGGGTCTGGGGCCTCCACAGGTTGGTACTGTGAGGCGTGTGAATTTCCCTCTTCACTCTCTTCACCCCTGCATTTGTCACCCCCAGGTCACTGCTTAGAGTGTTGATGGTAACAGCGGTTAAGGATCTCAAACTCAGGAAGAGTGCATCACTGGTCAGAGGGACACTGTGTGGAGTTCACGTAGTTCCAACCACCGGGTTCTCTGTTCTGAGCCGCTCTGGGGCTTGACGAGCTTCCTGGCCCCAGACAACCTCTCCAGGAGGGGAGAGGACTCGTGGAGGCCCAGCAGTGCGAGAACACAGAATGAACTTGACCACCTCCCTGACCAGGCCCTTCCCCCCAGGTCTGTCCTCTTCGCCTTGAGGAAGCCATGGGCTGGGGGGGAAGGGGGGAGGAAGGTGGAGACAAGGCCCGTGGGGAAGGTGGAACAGGAATCGTCCCTCTTGTGATATAAGTTGTTTGGAAGTTCCCAGGTTATAGCCTCAGCCTAAAAAATACCTGCTGTCTGTCCCGGCGGAGACAGAGGCCATTCACCTTTAGTCTAGACACTCAGGTTGGCAATGCTGACACTGGACGTCGTGTGGCTCCTGCCACAGACGTGGTGCGGCCTGCGTTGGCATCTTCCATGGCCAGTCATCAAGACTGCGCCTTAGTTACCCTTTGGGATCCAGCCTGCGACTCTGAGAGAGAAAAGATCCTCTCATGTCCCAGTCTTACTGGATGACTTCCTTCCTTCCTTCCTTCCTCCCTTCCTTCCTCCCTCCCTCCCTCCCTCCCTTCCTCCCTCCCCTCCTCCTCCTCCTCCTCCTCTTCCTCCTCTCCCTCCTCCTCCTATTTTGTAGGTCATGGGGTTTAAACTCTGGGCCTGGGCATTGTCCCTGAGCTCTCTACCACTTGAGCCACAGCGCCACTTCCAGTTTTCTGGTTGTTTATTGGAGATAAGAGTCTCACAGACTTTCCTGCCCAGGGCTGGTTTTGAACTGTGGTCCTTGGATCTCAACCTCCTGAGTAGCTAAGATTACGGCATAAGCCACCAGTGCCTAGCACCTTCCTTCCTTCCTTCCTTCCTTCTCTGGCTGTCTGGCTCTAGGGATGTTCTCACAGCATCGAATCCACCTGGAGGACTGAGGCTATGATCAAGTCATTGTGCAGATGAGAAAGACAGAATTCTGAACTTCAGGAAATGCGATGAGAATGTCCAAGTTGGAGTGGGGCTGGTGCAAGAGTGTGGTTTGAGCTGCACGCAGAGTGCTGGTCTGGGGTTTAGATACAATTCCGTGCGGAGGGGTGCGTGCATGGGCAGTTTGGGGTAGAGGACTGACATTTGGTCTACAGAGGAGCGAGGTTCCGAGCACCCGCTTAGCAGAGCACACGCGAGGGCAGCTTCTGTGTGAATTCACCAGGCAGGACAGAACATCACAGACACAGAAACCCAGGGAACTCTCGCTAGGAAGAGGGGGTGTATGGAGTTTCCTAAGTGGCCGGTTTCTTGCACAGATTCTGTCACAGAACTGACCAAGCTGTCAGACATGACAAAGCTCCACCAAGCGGTGGCCGCCGGGGACTGCAGCTCAGTGAGAAAGATCTTGAAGAAAGGCCTCTGTGACCCAAACTACAAGGACATGGACTGGAACGACCGGACCCCACTTCACTGGGCTGCAATCAAAGGTGGGTGGGGCATGCTGGGGGAACGGGGGCTCACCGCTCAGGAGTCCGTCAGTCTGCAGGCTGTGTGGGGTGGGCATAAGGAACGTGGGTGGACCCTGTCCCTCCTCACCCACCCTTGCAGCTTCAGCACTGCAGGTGAGCCCTTTGGAGCCTCCAGGCCTCAGTTTGTCCCTGGAACCTGAGAGGGGGATGCAGTAAGATAAGGCGTGTACAAGGCCCTGCATATAGAACCGGCTCTTCATTCGTAATCATCATCCACCCTCATCTGCCCTCATCTGGACCAAGAGAGGAACTTCATCTCTCTGAATCCCCCAGGCCTGACCAAGGCCCGGCTGTCCATGGGTGTCGGGGTACCCACAGCTGATTGGCTGGTCAGGGGTTTTGGCAATTCAGCGCCATCAAAGAATGTTAAGGAAGAAAGGCTGACAGTCAGTGCTGCTTTGTAACTGTGTTCTGTCCTGGGGAGAGAATGGATCGGCCACAAGCCAGATCGGCCGTGGGAAACTTAGTTGGGACATTTCGTTTTCCTTCAGAAATCTTAGCACAAAGCAATTGGTAGCGTGCTCAAATGACCCTTTCTGAACTGCTTTGCTCTGCACCGCCTGTCCACTGTGCAGGGTTTCTCTGTGACGTCATATGCCCTCCTTTAGGACTTGATGGGTCCGTGGTCATGTCCTTTATTTTCCAAGAAACAAGCACTCGTTAGCACCTGTTGCTGTCAGGAGATGAAACTCAGTCTACCTGGCTGGAAACCTCGTGGGCTTATACTGTAGGCTGCGTTTCCAGTGGCTCTGAAGACATCCACATTGGGGCCGCAGAATCAGGAACGAGCTTACTGGTGTTTCTATGGGCCACGATTGGAGCAGATGTTTAGGCTGACTTTGGGACACAGGACAGGGGAGAGCAATGTCCTGGAAAGGACTACAACACGCTCGTGGAGAGCTCAGATCTCAGGTGGGGATGGGGTTCTCAGAGTGAAGGTAGGACATTGACTCTCCCAATAAAAAGACCGAGGGGCGATGATAGCAAGCTGGAAGGACTCGGAAAGCCGATTTCCTTCCTCCTTCATGTGGACGAGGCTAAGCCCGCGGGGACATTCTTCTCTTGACCTCATTCTGTGTCTGCTTTGTATACTGAAGGACAAATGGAGGTGACGCACCTCCTGCTGGAGCACGGAGCCAGCCCCTGCCTGGTGACGGATGTGGGCTGGACTCCGGCTCACTTCGCAGCCGAGGCAGGGCACCTGAGCGTGCTCAAAGCCCTGCACGCATGGCACGCTGCCATCGATGCCCCGGACTTCTTTGGAGACACGCCCAAGAGGATTGCACAGATCTACGGGCAGACAGCCTGTGTGGCCTTCCTGGACAGGTAAGTTCCACCGCATAAAACAATAAAAAGGGGTGGGAGGGGTGGGCTGGGAAGGTGGCTCAGTGGTAGAGTGCTTGCCTAGCAGGCATGAAGCCCTGGGTTCGATTCCTCCATACCACATAAGCAGAAAAGCTGGAAGTGGCGCTGTAGCTCATGTGGTAGAGCACCAGCCTTGAGCAAAAGATGCTCAGGGACATGCCCAGGCCCCAAGTTCAAGTCTCAGGACTAGCAAAAAAGGAAAAAAAGGAAAAAATACAATTAAAAGGGAACAAAGCAAAACAGCCTCCCAATAACACATAGGCTATTTGCACTTGAGGAACATGAACACTTTAAGAAGGAGCTGTTCTTGCCAGGAGCTGGTGGCAGACGCTTGTCATCCTAGCTACTCAGGAGGCTGAGAATTGAGGATTACAGTTTGAAACCAGCCCTGGCAGGAACACCTGTGAGATTCTTTTCTCCAGTGAACCACCAAAAAGCCAGAAGTGGAGCTGTGGCTCAGATGATAGAGCAACAGCTTTGAGCACAAAAGCTCAAGAACAGTAGCCAGGCCCTGGGTTCAAGACCTAGTGCCAACACAAATAATAACAAAACTTTTTTTTAATGAGTTGCTCCTTCTTCAAACCCTTTGCGTCCACGTGTTCATTCACCCCTGGTCCATGGCTTTTCTCCACTTCCAAGCAGTGTGTGCGATGGGGGCACACTTGGCCACCTTCCTTCTCCGTGCACAAGTGTGCGTGTGCATGCAGAGCACAGACAGGTGCTAGTCCTCACGCCAGGGCAGGCTGGCTGGCACGGTGCTGAGAAGCCCGACCCTCCCTTCCCAGGGCGGAGCGGGAGTGCCAGGCCCACCGCAGCCAGGCCCAGCACGCAGGGCTGCGTCTGGATGAGCAGGACGCAGACTGGCACACCAAGAAGCGAGAGCTGGAGCTGTCTCTTCCTTCCACACGAAGAAGAAGAGCGAGAGAAGCCCAGGCCCCCGCCAGGCCCGGCCACGCCAGGCCGTGGAGACGCGCGTGAGAAGAGGGAGTCCCAGGACTTGAACCCGTGTTTTCTGGCTGAGGACCTTGCCTGGCATCCATCCGGCAAAGCTGGTTAGGTCTTCCCACAATTTATCTCGAGGCTCTTTAGAGGCCTCTGACCCATCCCAGGACCGGAAGCTCAGTCTGAGCATCTTCCCTGGGTGTTCCTAGACACACGCAGGTGCTTCGTTGCTCAAACCTGCAGTATGCAGAACAGCCAGGAGGGGACAAAGCCGGCGGGTCAGCTGCTTGTGCCTGGTCTCTGGGGATTTGCCCCATCAGCACTCCCCCCTCCCCCCCCCTCTCCCCTCAGCGCGCACACAATTGCAGAATGTCAGAAATCCAAGAGAAGATGCTAAGGAAACTTGGGTATGGGCTGGGGAGAAAATAGTAAGTAACAACAGAAATCCGAAGTGGTATGAAACCGAGCATCATCAGTTCAATCCATGACAAAACAAAAGCATAGTTTCAAACTATTTTCCCCCCTTTGGGCTTAGGAACACAGGCTTGTTAGTGGCATTTTGACCCACGTTCTTGTCTACACAGGAGCAAAAGCTAGTCAACAAATCAGCTCAGAGAGAAACCACTAGAAATCCTGAGGTGACTTAATTACCTCCCAGATGACTAATTAAAGATCATGTAAAAATCATAGAATTTGTGCTTAGAGGTCCACTTTTTCTTTTGATATCATATGAGGGTTCTATTGCTATTTTGTCACATTGGCGTCTTACCTAATAATCGGACTGAGTTGTCTACAGTGTCTCTCTTCTGTTACCAATGGTTATTGGAATCGTGCATTGGTACATACTGTATATGTTAGTGACAATGTAGATTAAACTTACATATATTACCTTATGCTATGTATTTTTATTCCTGTGTTAATTTTGCAAAGCGGGAGGTATTTATTGTGACAAAACATAGTACTCAGATTGAGATTTATAACACACAATGGGAATGGAAGTCTTAGCACAGAAGGGTAAAAGGGTCCATTAATAATACTGAATACTGACTGGTTAAAATGCTAATACTGTAGATGTTTTAAAGCTAAATACAATTTAAGATTGCCGATTCACTTCTTGTCTCTTTGTAAATCATTGACTAGTTGCAGGTTTGGGGTTCACCCGTGTGGTTTATGCTCTCCCTGGATGAGCCCTGCTCTGGAATCCAGAGCCTTGGAGCCTCCAGTCAAAGACTAATCAGGTGTCTTGGCATCTGTACATTCTTGATTTATGTATTTCCCTGCTTAATGAATGTCTTCAGCTGCTGGATATCTTTCTTATGCATAATAAAGGCCCTATTTGGTTTAAAATTCCTAAAATTAAAAAAGCGTTTCAATATTTTGCCAGTCACCGGTAGCTCACGCCTGTCATCCTAGCGACTCGGGAGGCTGAGATCTGAGGACCGTGGTTCAAGGCCAGCCTGCGGTAGGAGAAGTCCATGCATACGCATGCTTGCACACACAAACAAGGAATAGAACTGTGGCTCAAGCCTTGAGCACAAAAACTCAGGGACAGTGCCCAGGCCCTGCTACCCACTAGCAACCAAGGAACTTGTTAGCAATTTTTGTGCCTCGAGTTCATAATTAGAGAAACCAGCGTCTGCTTTGACATCTGTTCTTCCTCTCTGTCCTCCAGCCATTATCCAATTGTGTTAGCTTCTACGTGAATGGAGCCCCAAGGATTTTCTTTAAGTGTTTGCCACGTGTCTCTGGGGCTGCTTCTCAGTGATGGATGGCAAATTCTAAACACCTACACCTGCATGTGACCAAGTGAAATTTGAGGTTTGAATAGCATCACTGCTATGAATATGTTCCTCTGCGTAAGACTTGGTGGCCATCAGAGAAATTTCTAGAACTGGTGGCCAAGCAAAGACTTGGCACAAAAGAAAAGATAGGCTGTTTTTCTAAAAATGGTTATATTAAAGTATATTTTACATGTCACAAAGCACTCTAAAGGGCACGACTTAGTGGTGATTTTTTTTTTTTTGTCAGTTTTGGGGCTTGAACTCTGGGCCTGGGCACTGTCCCTCAGCTCTTCAGCTCAAGGCTAGCACTCTACTACTTGAGCCACTTTCAATTTTCTGGTGGTTGATTGGAGATCAGAGTCTCATTGACTTTCCTGCCTGGGCTGGCTTTGAACTGCAATCTTCAGATCTCAGCCTCCGGAGTAGCTAGGATGACAGAAAGGAGCCACCAGAGCCTGGCTAGTGGTCGTTTTTAAGTCAACACATAGAGTTGTGCAACCATCACTGCAGTGCAATTGTGAAGCATTTTCCATCAGCCCCAAGAGATCTCTCCACACCGTTAGCAGTCATCTCCTCCTTACCACCCCAGCCCCCGCCGGCACTGACCATTTCCTCCTACTTTAGAGATCCCCCTTTTTCTGGACATTTCATGCACAAGGCTAGATGAGCACTCAAGAGCCACCATTTCCGTTGCTCATTTGTGGGACAGATCCCGCCACCAATATGTATTTGGTAGGGAATGTGTGCTGGGTGCTATGCGAGGTACCTGCCTTAACACGTGTAACACAGGCCAGGTCCCTTCCAGCTGAGAAGGCAAGAAATGACACAGAGACCGTGGAGGCCCGGTGGGACGTGCACGCGGAGGTTCTAGAATGTCCGGAAGCCTTCACCCGACACCCAGATGGGGTCAGGAGTGGTCAGAGGATGGGATGGACGAATGGACAACTGCAGGGCCAGCTGGGGCTCGTCAGGGGGAGGGGCCGGGCCAGGCAGCTGCTGTGTGGAGGCTCAGACCCGGGAACACCGTTCTCTGAGAGCGCACAGCCAGTTTGCTAAGAGTGAGCAGCCTGTGTGGGAGTCAGGGGGCCTGGGAAAGCCAGGGGAGGGGTGGCCCTGGGGAGAGAAGGAAGGCAGGATGCACCTGCCAGTGGCGTGGTAGGAGGTCTGTGAAGGAAGGACTACGGACGCACAGAGCAGCGACATTGCAAACATCCTGGAACAGGCCATGCTTGCAAACACCAGACCCCCTGGAGGAACTGCAGGGACAACTGAGGCCACTAGGTGGCGCCTCAGCCCATTCGTTCACAGCCTGGATCCCCCCCCCAAGTCAAATTGCCTGATCCCAGAGACGTCTAACCCTGGGGAAATTCTCCTAGGTTGTGCACCAGTGAATCCTCTCATCCATGAACTCGGAGAGCAATGGGGCCCCTCTAGGGCCTGTGACAGTTAAGTGACCAACGATTCGGTGGCACTTCACGTTTTTCTCCACAGCCATGGATGTCCCCATTCTTCTAGAATGTTCTCTCATTTTATTCACCACTATATGCTTCTATTTGTCCTCCTGGCAAATAGAAGTACCCACGATCACCTGTAAGTGCAGCTGTTGACGTTATCTTGGTAGCTGTGCTTCGCATTGTGAGCTCTGGTTGGCTGACTACATGTCCTTGTCTGTTTCATGTTTCCAGAGAACAAACTTCTCTTCCAGAGAAGAGTTTCATGGACTTTCCTGCCTAGGCTGGCTTTGAACTACGTCTCCAGATGGTAGCCTCCTGCATAGCCATAACCACCAGTGCCTACATGTTTTGATGCTTTTGTGAAGACATATACCAAAAAAGAATCTTAAACTGAGAATATTTGATGCAATGTTCTTATTTTCCTGAAGCCACCATGTAGCATCGCAAAAAGCATGGCGCCTTTGAACGTGGTACACGCTCTGTGTCTCCTCCTCTTTTTGAAACAAGGTCTCAGCTCTGTAGCTGGAAGCCAGCCTCAAACTCAAGGTTCTACTGTCTCAGCCTCTCACATTCTGTGATTACAGCTGGGAGCCTCACACTGGGCTCCAGATAAGAGGTTTTATGTGGCTACTTTCTCAAAGTCACTCAAAACCATGGTGAAACGTCGACTTTCGTTTTTATTAGCCGTATGACCTAGGAGTTGCAAATAAAAGTAAAACAAACAAACAAGCAAACAACCCAAACCATGAATTGTCTATGATTTTAGTTTTCCTCTTCCCTCCTAAGCACCTGCTGCTAATGAGCCCTAACTAGTCAGCAATAAATTCCTGCCCCACAGCCACAGTCCACACTTAGTGCTTTGAACTGTTTCTCTACCCCACACAGTGTAATCAGCAAGTTTACCTACTAAGAAGCAGGACACTGGCGACTTACAGAATGAAAAATTCTCTGAGATGCCAAACAGAATTCCACCTCAAGAGCCACACAAATCCCACACACTCCAGTGATGAGTGAAACTGCACACTCACCTTATTTCTACAGATACTCTTTAAAGAAAAAAAAAAGCTGGAATCAATTTGCAGTACCCACGATCACTGGAAACATCTAAACAAGTTACAAGTGCCGCTTCAATTGCTTGCCTCACACAGATTTTCCTGGTGGAAGTTTCTGTGACCCCGCCCCCTGCATTATTTGTGACAGCGTGGCGCCCTCTTGTGGCACAGACAGACAAAAACCAGAGAGAGGCAAATTAGGAAGCATGGAACCAGTCAAGGCCTGGGCCTAATGTACTGAACCATTAGAACTGAGTTTTAAAAGCAAATACATCTCAGTAGGTGCGTCTGCCTACTCAATATAACATAAAACAACGTGCAGCTCACAAATGACAGCATCAAGGTGTGACGTCCTCTGACAGGCCAAGGAAGCAATGTTCAAAGACGCCATCCGCTCTCAAATCACAACATAAAAAAGCATGGGGTATCGTGCTCAGTACCCAAGACCTTCCGTGAACTCAGCAGTGTGCTGAGAGGCTACTGCAGACCACAGAGGAAACACAGACAAACACAGGCGAATGCACAGCAACTGGAAAAACACCTACCTGTGGAGCCTTCCTCCACGTTCTTGATGTTTCTCAGGCTCCGTGAGTGAACAGGCAGGGGCTGGGGGGGCAGGTGGGGGGCCGAGGCAGCCGTGGAAGGGCATGGTGCTGCCCAGGGGAAGGAGGAAGGGGCAGGGAAAAGGTGTGAGGCACGGGCCTGGAGTGTGAGCTATGAAGCCCCAGGACTTCGTGACTTGGTTGCTG